AGTTCTGGTTCCCGGGTTTCGGCGCCACTTGTCGCGACCCCTTGCCCGCAAGGAAGACGCAACTCGAGAATCTTCTCTCAACAGTTTTATTCAGGTCCCTGGATATTTCTTCTTCTTCCCCTCGGGTGCCCCTCCCAGCCTTAATAAAGCATCCCAAGCCCCAATGCAAAGCTGCCGCGTGGAACTTTCTCACAGGGTGGTGAAAAATCATGTGCCAACTTTCCCAGATAAGAAATTGTTTGTCACAGACCACAGCGGAGCCAGCGCCATCTTGTAATGGCGACCATAATCTGCAGAAACGGCAGAAGCGGCTCACCACAGGATGCCATCAGAAGCCTATCAACCAAGAAAAGCCCAAGACCAGATGGATACACAACTGAGTTCTACAAGATCTTCAAAGAACTAACACCAGTACTTCTCAAGCTATTTCATAAGATAGAAAAAGAGGGAATACTTCCAAACACCCTCTATGAGGCCAATATCACCCTGACTCCAATACCAGACAAGGATACATCAAAGAAAGTAAACTTAAGACCAATATCTCTAATGAATATAGATGCAAAAATTCTCAATAAAATTCTGGTAAATCGAATACAAAAACATAAAAAAAAAAAAAAAAAAAAGCACACCACAACCAAGTGGGTTTATCCCAGGGATGCAAGGTTGGTTCAACATACGGAAATCAATAAATGTAATTCATCACATCAATACACCCAAAGATAAAAATCATATGATCATCTCAATAGATGCCGAGACAGCATTTGATAAAATACAGCATTCCTTCATGTTCAAAATGCTAGAAAAACTAGGGATAACAGGAACATATCTCAACATCGTAAAGGCTATCTATGCTAAGCCCCAGGCCAACATCACTCTAAATGGAGAAAAATTGAAAGCATTACCTCTAAAAACTGGAACAAGACAGGGATGCCCTCTGGGCAACTTGGTGACACCCTGTCTCAAGAATATATCACAGTAGGGGCTGGGATTGTGGAGTGCTTGCCTAGCATGTGCAAGGCCCTGGGTTCAATCTTCAGCACCACATAAAAATAAAGGGGGGCTGGGGTTGTGGCTCAGCGGTAGAGCGCTCGCCTCGCATGTGTGAGACCCTGCGTTTGATCCTCAGCACCACATAAAAAAATAAATAAGTGAAATAAAGGTATTGTTTCCAACTACAACTAAATAAATAAATATTATAAAAATAAGTAAATAAAGGTATTGTTCAAATACAACTAAAATAATAAATATTTAAAAAAGAATATATCACAGTGAATTTCACCTTTATGTATATTTATAATGCACTAATTAAAAAAAAATAAAAGAAAGATCACTAGAAGAAAGGAAAGGGAACAGGAGGAGGGAAGAGAGAAGGGAAAGGAAAAGTAGTAGGGACTGAATTGGAGTAAATTATATTCTGTTCTTGTCTAATTATGTCACAGTGAACCCTAATATTATGTATAACTAAAACAAGCCAATAAAAAAGAAAATAAGAAGGACTGGGGATGTAGCTCAGTGGTGGAGTGCTTACCTAGTATACACAAAACCCTGGATTCAATCCTCAGTAAAATGAATGAAACCAGTTGGTTCTTTGAAAAGGTTAATGAAAAGTACATTTAGCTACATTGAGAACGACTTAGATTATTAAAATCAAATGAAGATGGGAACATTTCTTCTGTTCTATAGAAATAAAAATGAGTATAATGGAATACTATAAACAAGTGTATCCAACAAGTTGGTTAACAGATGAAATGGAAAAATTTTTAGAAATGCAAAACTGAAGACAATCATTAGGAAATAGTAAATTTTAATAAACCTGTAATTAACAAGGAGATTTAATCAGTAATCCCAACATTTTAAAAACTGAGGAACTACCTCAACTTAATAAAGGTCAGATATGGGAAAATCCCCAGCTAAATTGTAATGTTGATAGATGGAAAATTTTACATTTAAGATCAGAAGAAAGGTAAGAAAGCCCACTCCTCCCTTTCTGGTTTAATATGCAGCTGGAGACATAGGCAGAGCAATTAGACAAAAAGCAAATAGAGATCAAAAGTGGGAGGATGAAGTAAAATTTCTTTTCATAGATCCTAAAGATCACACACACATACACACACGCGCACACACAGAGTTAACTAATGATTTCTGCAAAGTTGTAGGATACAAACTCAATATGAGAAATTCAGCATTATTTTTATATACTAATAATGACCAATCCAAAAAGGAAATTAAGAAAACAATCCTATTTATATTAGCATCAAAAAGAATGTATACTTAGGAATAATCCAAGAAGGAAAAATACTGAAAACTACAAAACATGAATAAAAATAAATCAAATACAAAAACAGGAGGCAAGAGAGGCAGGGAGGAGGGAAGCCATCCAGTGTTCCCAGATTGGAAGTCTGTAAACCTGGGGAGATCTACAGATTCAGTGCAACATCTATCAAAATCCCATGAGATCTTTTTTTCTTTTATTGCACAAATATGAAAAAAAAAATCCTGAAATTTATATGGTATCTCATGGGACCCCCAAACAGACAAAACAATCTTGAAACAGAAGAACAGTTTTGGAGAACTCACATGTTCTGATTCTTAAAAAATTCTACAATGCAATGGTAATAGACATTGTGGTACTGTCCTACAGGCAGATGTATACACCAAGGGAACAAAATATAGAACCCCAAAATAAAACCTTCCACACACTGTCAGATGACCTCAACAAGGAGACCAAGAATAGACAGGAGATGGAGAGTCTCTCCAAGTTTTGGAAAAACCTGATATGTACAGGCAGAAGAATGAAGTTGGACTCTTCCTCATAGGACAACACAAAAATACAACTGAAGCTGAGTGTGGTGGTACACACCTGTAATCCCAGCTATTTGGGGGATTAAGGCAGGAGGATAGCAATCCCAAGGCCAGCTTGGGCAATTTAGTGAAGTCCTGCATTAATAAAATATAAAAAAACAGTTGGGCATAGTGATGCATGCTAATGTCAGCTACTCAGGAAGCTGAGCTGGAGGATGGCAAGTTTGAAACCAGCTCAAGCAACTTAGGGAGAATTTGTTTCAAAATAAAATAAAAAGGTCTGGGTATGCACCTCAGTGGTAGAGGCCCAGTGTACAATCCCCAGTACCATGAGGGTATAGGGAAGAAAAAAACACTCTAAAAGGGTTAAAGACTTAAATATAAGACTTAAAAATTCTAGAACACATGGGTGGAATTCTTCATTACACTGGATTTGGCAATGATTTATTGAATATGATACCAAAAGCAATGCCAACTAAAGCAAATTAGACAAATAGGACTACATCAATATTTAAAATTTTTGTACTAAAGGACATTATGAACAGAGTGAAAAGACACTACAGAATGGGAGAAAATATTTGCAAAACCCACATATGATAAGGGATTTATATCCATAATACATAAAGAACTAAGATTCAACAACAACAAACCAAGTATAGACAAAGGACTTGAACAGACATTTCTCAAAAAAAAAATCCACAAATTGTCAAATAAGTATATGAAAATATGTTCAGCATCACCTAGTCTTGGGGAAATGCAAATTAAAAAAAACTGGTGAGAAACTCCACCATGCGGCCTGCGCATTGGTTTCATTAATGAGGTTCTTGGCATAAAAGTTAGCTAGAAGAGATCGAAATAAAACACACAGACTCAGTTACCTTATTTCTATTGCCAGGTCCGAGACGGCTCCCCTCTCTGGTTCCCTCCTCTAACCGCCCAGCAGGGCAGCAAGGATTACTCAGGGCTAGCAGGAGAGAGAGAGAGAGCATGCCAGGGAGTAGCCTTTTATTGGGGAACAAGAAATTCAGGGGATAATTCCATCCAATGAAGGTTGAGGGGGGGGCCGCACTCCAAGGTCAGGGTCAGTGATTGGCCCCTGGGGTCAGTGGTCAGTCACACCCCCACACGGACGGGTTCTCTCATCAGGAAAGGGCTGAAAAAGTTCCGACACAGCCAGAAAGCCTCAGACCCTTAACGGGAGCCGCCCAGTCACGTGTCAAAATGGCTCCCCACAAGAAACTACTACCTCTACCCATTAAGGGGGCTAAATCAAAAACAACAAAAATTTTAAAAGTGTTAAGATGTTGGCCAGAACCTGTGACTGTGGAAATAGACTTTTTTCCCTTAGTATTGGTGATTGAAGCCCAGAGGTGCTCTACCATTGAACTACATCCCCAGTCCTTTTTATATTTGTTTTGAGATAGGGTCTTGCTAAATTGTGCAGGTTGGCCTTGAACTTGCCATCCTCCTTCCTCAGCTGCCCAACAGGCTGTGATCATAGGTGTACCACCACCCCCAAAAGGAACAGACTTAAAAAATAAACTAGTGCTGCTGGGTGTGGTGGTGCATGCTTGCAATCCCAGCAGCTTGGGAGGCTGAGGCAAGAGAATTATAAGTTCAAATTCAGCCTCAGCAACTTAGTAAGGCCCTAAGCAACTCAGTGAGACCCTGTATCTAAATAAAGTACACAAAGGGTTTGGGATGTGACTCAGTGGTTAAGCACTCCTGGGTTCAATCCCGGGTACCAAAAAAAAAAAAATAGACCACTGCTTTCCAAACACAGGGATAAATTTAATAAAATGTGAGAATGACAGTTTTTCCAAGAATGATGCTCTGGCTTCCCTCCACAAGTAAAGTGTAACAGCTAACAGCAGGCAGGCCTTTTGGGTATGTTTCAAGTCAGTGAAAATTCTAAGTTACTCCAAGAAAGGGAACTACTTTAACACATTATTTCACGCTTGTCTGAAGGATCCCTAATTCATTCATTTGATGAATATGTACTATGACCACTGTGCATTACGTAGAAATACTTAATGTGGGTAAGTGAATACGGTAGTTCTTAGAAGACAGTTAATCTAGTTCTTGCAAGTTAAAGCAGGACAGCTTAAGTGTAATTTAGGCATTTCAGTTCTTGCCAAATTTTATGCTTGACTCTTTTTTTTTTTTTTTTTTTTTTTTTTTTTTTTGCATATCAGAAATGCATTTTAATTTTTATTTGAAAACAACTTAAATTTTTAGACAAATGATTTTAGTATATAAATTTGATTTTGTTTTTATACAGAATATAAAGATTTCCCTCATTAATCTTCCATGTGAAGGGTATTACAGACTGGAAGGAAGATATGTTCTGCACACAAGTCTGTATCTTCTGTGTGCGGCACTGGAAACAAATGGTGTAGTGCTCCTACACATAAATTAGATCAAGTGACATTACAGTTTAAAGGGGGAGAAGAGAAATATTGTCGTTAATCCGATTCAAGAAGCAAACATGACACAAAAACTGTGCAAATAAGACCAAGTCAGTAACTTTAGTTAGGATATTGCAGATTATAAGGGAAGGTTTGTGAGGCTATAGTGTGCACCACATTAAAACAGCAAGAAAAGCTATTTATATGGAAAAGCTGGAATGAGGGATTTCCACTAAAGCAAATTAACTTCTTGTCAACTGCCAAAACAAAACAGAGCATATGAGTGTTAGTATACTGAAGGCATGTTATACCAGTTTCTGTGCAGCATGCTAAAAGTTATTTAGAACTTCTTCACACTGGTGCATACGAATCATTAATGGTCACATTTTTGCTTCTTCTCACCAAATTTCAGGCATGTCTTATTTTAGATGGAGTATAGCTTTTATCTATGATCTCATCCTGTAAAAACATGTGAAGACAACGTTCATTCTGTGCCAGAGGATGACCAGCGACCTTGTTTATAAACTGCTCCAGCCCTTGCTTCCTTTCCTCTATAAAATTGTCATCAAATATTCCATCATCTCCTCTAAAAGGTAGTTGACGCAAAAATGCTTTCCCAGGGAGTGGGGGAACTACAACCTTGCTCTCTCTCTCTAATTCACTTCGCAGCCATTCAAAGTCACTGTATCTTCTTCTAACAGTAGATTCCTTCAGCTTGAAAATAGGAAGATTTGTCTTGACCCTGATTTCGTAGGTGGTAAAGCGGCCCCGGCCGACCCCCACGGTCTGCGGGTTGCTCACATCGATCTCGAGGAAGTTGCTGGGCGGCCCGTAGGCGTCATTCAGATTCTGCGGCTTGGTGATCAGCCGCCGGGTGTCCGCCACGGTCTCCGCCATTTCGCTGTAGCCGCAGCCGCCGCGGGCTCCCTCCGCCCACTCCGCGTTCCACAGACGCCGCCGCTGCCGCCCGCCGCGGGGACACGGGGGATATGCTTGACTCTTAATAGCTGGATTTGGCTTCCTGTGCTTCTTTCAATAAGAGGCCTGGAGACCCATCCAAGGGCTGTCCAAAGATGGTTATGTGACATTTAGCTACTGCAATGCTGATTTCAGATCTCTACTTGTGGGATTTTCTCTTCTTCTTTTTTCCTCCATTTTTAAAATGAACTTTAAAATTTTTTAGAAATTGCATCTGGGGCAAACAATAAATTCCCTCCCTGCAATTAGGCAGATGAAAGAAATAAAGCAAAAGGGGGAAATGAAGACAACATGACAAAGCAGATTAAATGATCAAAAGTAGTGATTTATAGATGATTAGCAATCGAGTCCCCTTTTTTCCCTTTTTTGGTTGAGGTGCGTAATCCCATTTAAACCAGAGTCTCCCACTTGCAAGCATAGCCTTTGCTATCTGGCCCTTCCTGGCAGACACTTTCCTCCCTGTTTTTCATATTCTGTGTATCTTATGAAGCTCCACAAACTGGGTCACTTCATCCAAGTGAGGCCACCACTTATACAGAAACCTCTCTGCAATGATTCTCAGCCAGGGCGTGACCTTCACTTCACCCCTGTCTCCCTTTTCCAGGAGCTCTTCCAATTCCTCCTGGGCCAGGTAGCAGCAGCTGTCAACTTCACTGGGATCTGGGTGGATGGTCACATTCTTCTTCACTAAGAGAAGGTAGCAGATCTCATGTTCTCCCCAAATTTGATCTGATTTTGCTTTGTAATGATATCTTGTCATAAACACTATGTCATCTGTAGAAAGCTGTGGCAGAAATTGATGCAACATTAATAACATTAACATAAAACACAGTGTACAGGAAAAAGGAGAAAATGAACACATTTGTTTACCTCAGATAAACAAATTCTGTTGGTAATTGGTTATTATCCAAACCTTAATTTTAAGTGATTGTTTTTTTCTTTACGGGGAGATTGCAAACTTTATTGGCACTAACACAAAAATAAAATTGATTCAAGAAATGGCAGATCACTTTGACAATGCACAATTTTTATGCAGATGTATGCATTATGCATTTTTATGCAGATTTATGGATGCATGCTACCTTTTAAAATTGCCTTGGAGACCTAGGGAATGGCTATAAAACAGCTGACACAGATGGGAAAAGCTTGTAGACTCCCTGAAAAGTCAGTTAGCCTTAGCAGATGTGATCTTTCTCAGATTTTTTCCTTAATGTCATGACGATGGACAAATACCAGGTCCATATTTGGGACATACATGGCATGAATATTCTTTCCTTCCAAAAAATGATGATGATGTAATCAGTGGCACTTTGGTATGTCAAGGATTTCTGGTGAACACTCTACAGGTGTGGTCTTGTTTTTAACCATTGGTCATCTCAGTAGACATTGGTTTGATTGTTCTGGAACAGCTGGAGAGCTGTTGCTCAGGCCTATTCCTGTCCCCTGCTGTCATGAGATATGCCCTTCTCATTTGAAACTATGTCATCTGTGATGGGAATGTCTAAGTCCAGGGGCCTAAGACTCCCTGTGTATTCACTTGGAAACTGTTCCTAAGGAGCAATGGTCCTTGTTTCTACCGTGTTAACACAGTACCAGAAGTGCAAAAACTGCTAGTGGTCTACACTGATAATGAACTTCAGAGGTTCAGTTCATGGTCAGCCAACTCTATTGCTCTGGCCAAGATGAGCTGTAGCATCATGGCTAAAAGCATGGTGAAGGAAAGCTGCTCACTCTGTGGTAGCCAGGGAGCAGAGAGAACTAACTAAAGTTTTGTAGACTCAAATCTGAATAATAATCTGACTTTGGTTTCCTTGGTGTAACAAATGTATCTCTGTCCTATTTTGAAGGACCAACTCCTCCACCCGCAACAACAGAAAATCCAATGAAAACTGGCCATCCCCTCTCACCTACTGGCTTTACAGATAAAGTTAACAAATGGGTAATGGACAGTCACGGCTGATCCTGGACATTCCTTTTAGCATACACTGCAATTTCTTCTTCAGTTTTTTTTAATAGAAAACCAGATTCCTGAACCATCCCAACCCTGCCCAGAACAAACCAATGTGCTATGACCCTGTCCTCTGCAACAGCACCATTGCCAGGCCAAGGGCATAGATCCAGTTCCCAGGACAGCACAGCTGTTACTGGGCAGATGTTCCTACCTGCTCCTGGGGAATTCCCAGCTCAGCCTGCAGGCGTCTCAGGGCTGCCCTCTTCACTCCCAAGGCGTCCTTTTCTTCCAGTTCTGCAGGGTTGTATAATGGGTGACTACTACAGGAGTCAGAAAAATGCCCTGGAAAGAACATACAAGGGAAACATCCCTCTTACTTTATTCCTCTTACTTTATTTGAATATATTAAATACAAATACAGACTCTTTGGGTAAAATCGTCATTATCTGTCATCATCAGCCTGGTAGGTGGGAAGTGCAGGTTTGCTGTGGTGCTCAGGGCAGAGCCTGTGTCCCTGCTGCCATGGGGTGAGGGTTTGGGTGAGGTGCCTCTGGGTGGCTACTTGAGGAGCTGTTCCTAAGACTCAGCCTTGGCTGCCTGCTGCAGGTGCTCACCCATATGCCCTGTTGCACTCTCCAAGTCAGTCTCAGGACGAGAAGCACCTCTTGGGCAGATTTATGTCTCACAATGGATCTGAAATCCCATTTGAGAGAAGAAGAGATGAGCGCATGTGTGTATGGCATCGGTGGATTTAGAGTCTCGCTGGGGAAGTAAAGGGCATATGTGGGAGTGTTGGGCTTGGGACACACCACCTCAAAATGGCAGGAATAGGAGATTGGGAAATGCCACACCAAAATTGCTGCTTTGGATTCCAAACTGAGAAAACCTGGAAAAGAGCAAGTGGAGGAAGGGGCTTGCTCTGAACTTGCCCTATCTGACCAGAGAAAATGAAAACAACATTATACATCTTCTCCCTGGGAAGTCAGTAAGATGCCCTGCGAAGATCCACCAGCAGAAATTAGAGGGGCTCCCCACCCAGACAGCTTTTTCACAGGTGGCACCTATTCTGACAGTTCCTCCTTGAGATCTCCTATTACCTGGGAAGCTTTTATATTTGCATCACAAGGCAATCTTTATTCCCCATATTATTTCTTCCTTTACTTTTCCATAACTTGTCCCACTTCCCTCCAGAAGTCCCTGCCCCTATTCTTTTCTGTAGTTCAGGATATTTTATGAATGTCGTCATCTGCTATCCTCGCTTCTAAAGGGATATTCTTACATTTGTCATGATCTTAGGAAGTATAGAAAAATTCAGTCTTAAGACTTGGATGGTAGGATGATAGTTTCTATCATTATCTTCTTTTTTTAATATTTGTTTTTTAGCTTTAGGTGGACACAATATCTTTATTTTATTTTTATGTGGTGCTGAGGATCGAACCCAGTGCCTCACGCATGCCAGGCAAGTGTGCTACCACTTGAGCCATATCCCCAGCCCTTATTATCTTCTTAATTTTATGTTTAAATATTATTTATTTTAGTTCCCCGATACTTTAGATGGATAAGTTCTTCTGGATTTAAATAGCTTTATACTGCCATAAAAAAAAAATCCCAACTAGAAAAAACCCAGGCCACTGAAGAAATATCAGACTGGTAAGTATGGGTCTGCAGTTTCCTCTTAAAATGTCATCTGGCTGTGCAGATAATTCATGTCTCGGAATCCGCCAGGTCAGATTACATGGAAAGTTTCTGTTAAGTCATAGGTTCAACTGAATGGACTTACCAGGAAAAGTCAGCTTGACATCTGATCGCGTCTGAATCAGGACTTTCTTCTCTGTATTGAACAAAACCACACTGAAGGCTCTGTGCAGCAGCCCTGGGAGAACAAGCCCAAAACTGTGAGTGAACACAGGGAGTCCCTGCAATAGTCCTCAGTCTTTGTCTTATCTGAAAAATCTGTATATGACCCTTGAGTAGGGCAAGGGACATGCAGTTGTCTAAATTGACATTTTGAAACCTCTAGGTAATTAAACTTGTTTGACAAAGTGAAACTCAAAGTAAAAGTTTAGGCTTGTCAGAGAAGACCAGAGCTGGATGGTAGTTCAATCAGGAAAACCAGATTTTATTCACAACTATTACAGTATGGGAAAAGAGACCTTAGAGTAGCTCTGGTATCAACTCTGAAATCAGCACTGGCGGGAGGGAATTTGTCCCTAAGGAGCAGAATGGAGGAAGGCCGAAGGAAAATTTCTAGGAGGGTATGTCTGGGGCAAGAGGCATTCCAATTAGGTCTACAGGATTAATATGGTTCTTTCTCAAGATGGGCTTGGGTGATCAGACATCACCTGAGAATGGTGTGGCATGAGGACCTGAGCAGATATGGAGGGTGGGAGTCTCTCCGAACCAAGTTAGGAGGATTCTTGCCTGAGCTGGGTTTTACAAGGGAGCGCACAGTTGTCTGGGAGGCTCAGGACTCTGCTGACACTTAGGCTGAGCAGAGACTCTTTGTCAAGGGGGGTGCCTCATAATCTTCTCCCAAAGAGAGAAGCTGTGAAAGGACAAGGTGCCCATATGGCCTCCTTATGCAAAAAGCCCAGATTCTCCTGCCTCTCCATCTCTCTCAGGTGGGAAAAATGAGAAAATCTTGCAAAATTAACAAAGAAACATTCGGTGACACCTTTCTCGATGTTCTCGTTCAGATGGCAGTTCCTCTTGGTGTCCTCCCCAAGGACCTTGTCATCTTCATCAACCACAATGAGCATTTCATTTAGGCGTTGTAGTTGATGTTCACTGAGCCAGTCGGGATGGACTTCAGACATAGCTGCGCGCTGGAGCCAGCCTGAAATGGGTGCATGAAATTTCCTCTTGTGCAGAGGATCATATCTAATTTTTGCTATTTGTTACCAAGCACCTCAGGATTTATCATATAGTATTGAAGTAGAACTATTGTTAAGTATAAGAGGGGTATGGTGCTTATAATTTAGTGTTTTTCTGAATAGGAAATCTTGGAGAGATATATATATATATACAAATATCGTATGTATAGATATGTAA